ATGTTATGAAGACAACTAATCGGTTTATAATTACCTACTACCCAGGTCATCTGCATACCTATAAATACCTAATATAAGTATTGTTTAGATGTACGGTTTTATAATAACGCGTTTTGTAAATGGGGCACCATAGGTACGTACCACCATCACGCGTGGGAATATTTGGGAAAGAAATCATGACAATTGAAAACCAAAAATTTTACAGCTGACGGTATTTCGATGGAATTTGCCTACCAGTGTAGGTACATAATGAATGTTAACTCGGGTTCTATATAGCTACAACGCAGTGATTATAATATTATATATGATTTAGGTAACTCTTGCAAGTCCTTATACGTACTTACTGTAAAACTCTATCCCACGTATAGCATGGAGCCACCGCAAGCATAATGTTGATTTATCTCAATCGTAAGATCGAAAGATCGAAAGATCGTATAAGCACGTACTTACTCTATCCGTTGAACCTTACAAGGCGGATGAAACGTTTTTCTTTTAATTTTTTCAAGTCGTAGAAACGTCTTTTTTCGGGACCTACATATTATTATTATATATTTCACCGGCGGTCTACTTTCACCCGATTGGATATAATGTATAGTCCGGCGGAACGCGTATTTCTTACATCATTATTTCACACGCGGTACTCATCCGTATTGTTACCAATATTGCGTCATATAATAACCAACAACAACGATACAGCTACAAAGAAAATCTGCACAGGTTAGGACGGTTAGGTGCGGTATTAACCGAACACAACCCCTTGCACATAGAATGTGTCGACCTGTCACAGGTCACGTGTAGTGTACGATTAGGATTTCTGCTATACGATGCTGTCTTGACGAATGAAGATATATATATATATTTTTTAATTAAGCCTCAACAACAAAGGTTATTGGCTATAAACATTAATATTTTTTACACAAATAATATGAAGCATTAATAATAATATATACACGACAATAATAATAGTATAAAAAAATGAGATTGAAATACAGGGTGTCCCAAAGAGATCTGACATTCTGACAAATGAAATAACTTTTGTTCTAATCAATATTTTTTAAAAATTTCTTTTAAATATAGA